AGAAAAATCACAGGATTCTGAAGTATACTATAAAAATAATTTTAAACAGAGCAGAGGTGCGGAGAGGGGAGGAGTGAGTGGAGTGGAGTGGAGTGGGAACAGAGCAGAGCAAGGCAAGGCAGAACAGAATCAGAGGAATCTGGCTCCTAATCTGGCCAATAACTGTATATCTGTGTGTATAACCCTGGTTCACAATATTTTATAATTGATTATTTTATCCACTTTCATACCTTATAGTCAAAGACAACAGGACATCTTGGGCATGCTTTACCAATCAGATCCTCTCTCACTGAAACAATCAAAATAGAATATCGTTAAACCTAGTGGATAATTAAATGGTGATGATGATGATGATGATGATGATGGTGATGGTGACAATGTTGTTGATGATGATGTTGATGTTAATAGTAATATTGATGATGGTGATGGTTATGGTGATGATGGTAATGATGGTGATGATATTGATGATGATGACATTGATGTTCTTGATGATGATGATGATGCTAGTGATAGTGAGACTGAACTTACCAATGACTATTGTCACTCCTGCACAGCCAATATTCTTCTGAGCTCCCGCATAAATAAGTCCAAACTATTCAGAATTAAGTAAATGGAAAATAAATGTAAGACAAAAAGAGAAAGCTGCTGCAACAATCAGCCGCATCCTTCCTGCCTTTATAAACATGACAATAGCAGAAGCATTAAGAAATAAATCTAATTCTATATCATTCTATTATTATTATTCTATATTATTATTACTGTAGGAGCAGGTGTAGCTCAGTTGGTTAGTGCACGACCTTCACGAGAGCTTGAGGTCCACGGTTCGATTCTTAGGATCTTCAAGTCTGTTTTGACTTCTCTCTAATCTATGTAGCTTCAGCTTTGAATATTTTTAAGATAGCGCATTGATGAAGAGAGGGGGTGAAGTGCGCACCGTCGGCTTCCATTGATAGCAGTTGAATTTCAACTGAAGGAACTACCGACGTTAAATATAGGTACTTTAACTTTTACCTCTATCATTCTATTAATATTACCTTCTTGATGTCAACTGGTTTTGTCAAGATGTTGGACGACATGTCACACACGAGTGGTACGCCGTGAGTCTCAGGGATCTCATCAAACTCCACGCCATGGACTGTCTCRTTTGCACAATAATACACGTAAGAAGCTTGGGGATCAAGGTTCCATTCAGTACGGCAGGGAATTGCTTGAATAATTGAGAATCAAAAACATTATATTAAATAGTGCAGCTAGTTTCGGTACTCTATACTTACTGTGTAGTTCCAGAAATTATTTCTCTGACCCCTCTCCCCTCGAGAATTCCCAATTTCCTCTGGGGGTGGGGTATGGATATTTTCTGGAACAACACAATATAAATAAAATTTATTATTATTCATTATTATTATCATGATCATTATTAGGTACTTACTGTTGTAAGTGTCCAGTTTAGGGAACACATGGTTGACCTTGCCATATTTCTCAGCCTGGGTAATAGAAATTTATCTTCATCATTCAACAAACAATCTCTTAATGATTATCTTTAGGCCTCATCTAATTATTTACAATTTATTAAGAAGAGCTGCAGCAAGTTGTCTATGAATTATTTTTTTAAAGAGATATTGTTGAGATCTTTCTTTTTTTTTTTTTTGTCAGGGGGGGTGAGTAGAGAGTTAGTTGACTTGCTTCTATGCATTTGATTGCATATTGAATTCGAATTTATTTTTTGTGTCTGTGAGCTGAACGCTGAAATTTGGTCTTTCGTTGCCATCAATCAAACCTAATCAGTCGGTACCTTTCACATTTTTGACTGACCGCAGCAGAAAACCAATTTTCAGCATGCAACAGGTATCCTGGCAGTAAATTTGGCACAATACAGAGATGAAATGTTCTCTGTGTGCAGCCAGTAAAGAATGAAGAGTAAAGTATCAGGACTTTTAGCAAGAGTCAGTCTAAATGACAACAAGTTTGAAAGTTATGGTGGAATAAGTATAATGACGAATGACAGCTACTAATGGCAGCAATAATTATTATTAGACATAATTACATTACAGATAAGATAGTTTTTATATTTATGATATTTACCTCTTTTGCGGCTTTAGCAGACCAAGTACCAGTAATGATGTAATCTGCAGATCCTCCATCTAAAAATGATTAATTATAATAGTCAGGGTTCCCAGCCATTTTGAAAATAAAAATTCCCTGACTTTTCCCTGACTAAATAACAGTTTTCACTGACCTTGTTGAGCCGCATGGGCGAGCATGGGCCACTATGCCTAACTTTTACCTAGGCCCCGCTCTTATCATATTACACACGATACCCAACATAATTAAACTGTCCGGCATTATATAAATGATACTAAATACTTCAATATTTTTTCATTATTTGTAAGGATTTATAATCTATTTGAAAACTGCAAACAGTATGAGAAACACACGGATACTCATGGTTAACTTTAAACAATATTCCCTGACTTTAGGTGAAAATCACAATTTCCCTGACTAAATAAAAAATTCCCTGACTTTTCCCTAACTGTGTTTTCCCCCGACTTTTCCCTAACCCCTGGGAACCCTGATAGTACACATCTCAACAACATATTGTAAAAAAAAGCTTTAGAAGGTCTGAATCATGCAAAACACAATTAAGGTATTGGGAAGCATCAAGATGGTGTAAATCAGAGTGCTCACCTCTGCACCAGGGTGATTGAGTTTGATTCCCAAAAAAAGGATCATATCCGAATAGAGTTGCTTTTTGGTACTCTCTAGCTTCAGTTATAATAATTATCTCTGGATTTCTTCCCTCTGAAAAACTCAGCTTCTAAATCCCAATAAGTCACTACCTATTAGCCTGTGTTACCCTCGCAAAAAAAAAAAAAAAAAAAAAAAAAAAAAGAAAAGAAAAAAAGAAAAGAAAAGAAAAAAAAGAAAAAAGAAAACAAGAACAAGTCTTAATAAAGAACAATATTGTCTCACCTTTCATAAGATTTAGAGGTACTGCTGAAAACTGTCCAGTACCACCACCTTGTAAGAACAGAACTTTATAGTTGTCTGGAATATCTCTGAAAAGAACAGAAATATAAACTAATATTAAATACTGAATTATCAAATAAAATAATAATATACAAATCTCACATTCTGATTGGTTTGGGAGGGGTGGTTTATGAAAGCACATGGCATGCTCTGAAATTTTCTATGGCACAAGTCCTGACCAAAATAACAGTTATTGAAATAGAAATAAAAAACTTGATTGCTTTGATGTGCTATGTGGGGGATTGATTGGCACAATGGTATTTTCACCTACACATCATTTCCCCTATGCACTTCATTATGACTTTGTAATTTTATGCTGCAACCATTTGTCTCATGTTGATTCAAACTATACAGCAGAACATTCAAGAAGTATTGAAAAGGTATCTGTTACTAAATGCTACGATCACTTTGGCTACGATCACTTTGGCTACGATCACTTTGGCTACCATCACTTTGGCTACCATCACTTCTTTCGCTACCATCACTTTGGATACCACCACTTTGGCTACCATCACTTTGGCTACCATCACTTTGGCTACCATCAGTTTGGCTACCATCAGTTTGGCTACCATCACTTCTTTCGCTACCATCACTTTGGCTACCATCACTTAGGCTACCATCACTTTCACTACCATCACTTTCACTAATAATCATGGTACTTTTGCTCTCAATTGCAATCCAATAAGTAAACATAAAACAACTGTTTTACTTGATAGCAAAGCTTTATGAAAACATTTGTAAAGCAGTCTAAATCATTTATGGGCACTCATGACAAAGTTCTAGTCTTGCCAATGACCACTAGAAAGCTTGTTGAATTTATTGAAATTTGTTAAGCGTGCTGCCAATCCTTAAAAGCAATTGTAACTGCACACAACACAGCAAGCAAGTTTTCCATTTCTTTAACAAAAATCTATATCTTTTTGACAAAATTAACCACTACTTACAATAGGTCTCTCAGGTTATTTTCAGCATCACTGATGATTTTGGTGAATTCTGCTGAGCGATGACTCATCTCTGAAAATTAAAATACCGATGAGTATTGGTTTGGACAAGCCATTAAATCTATGCTTTAAACGTTAATTTATTCAAGTTCTGTTCATGCATGTTGCTAGACAGGTACTAAGTGGACAGGTACTTTATAGTGGAAGGATGGATGGTTGGATGGATGGATGGATGGATGGATGGATGGATGGAGGGATGGAGGGATGATAATAATAATCAACTTTATTTAGACACGAAAGCTCTATCAACATTAAGTACAATATGAGAAACTCAATCTTGGTCTACCTAGAGGTCGTGGAGGGATGGAGGGATTGGAATTGGAATTGGAATTGGATAGAGGGATAGAGGGATGAAGGGATGGATTGATGGATGGATGGATGGATGGATGAATGGAGGGAGAGAAGGAAAGGGATTTATAAATCCTTTTATCACATCCTTACTAAGAAACCACAACACTAACCCATGACACTGATGCCAAGATTCCCATAGTTGAGAAATTCTTTCTGTGCTTGTTCCAAAACCTACGTAAAACAACCAGATATATTCAGCATTAAAAAGCAGTTTTATGTACAGTCAACTCTCCCCTTGCACACATCCAAATATTATGGACACCTTGCTATTACGGACAGGAGAAAAAACCCCGAAAAAAATATTGAGAAGGAAATGACCAAAAATAATTCCTGCTTTTGCAGATGCTCGCTATTACGGATATCAAGTGACAGTCCCGAGGGTGTCTGGCATAACAAGGGTTAACTGTACTTTCGACTTATTCTGAACCTAATCAAAATATGGCGACCAATTTGAACAATACTCTTTCAATATTCCATTTTACAGTTCCATTTCCGCGCATGATAAAAAGTATAGTTTTGCTATGCGTGGAAACTGCAGCCTCGACTTGCAACTATTATTCGTGGTCACTCGAACACAACTGTAAAATGGAGTATTTGGCCCATCTATATAAATAATTTACAAAATATAATTATGTAAAGGATGTTATTTCTTTAGAAATATATTCTTTGCTTGTGTTACTTTGAAAATTATTATTTTCTATTAAAATTTCTAACACGGGAAACGTCTTATCGGTTATATTATGGCAATCAATTATTTTGCTAAGAACGTTTGAGTACAACACACTCCTTATTGGGCTATTGCATCATACAGTTTTTGAGACTGAATATAACAATACATAGCATTTTATCAATTTTGGTATTATTTCCGTGCAACTTTATAGTGGTAATTTCCGATACCGTTTCGTTTTCTTGTTTAACAGTGTTAACAAGTTTCGTTTCTATTTAATATAGTTTCTTGGACGACATTTTGGACACGAAGCAATGGATTCGTCGTTATTTGAATATTCGTTTATAATAATGATCTTGAAATCCATCTTTTTCTTTAAGAGAAACAAACTAGCGATCGCTAAGAAATGTATATTAACCTTGGTCATTTCACGATCAAATGTTCGAAGCCCAAGGAATCTCCCTCGATGTGTTTTGATATTCCTTATTAGGAACTCTATTCACGTCCTTTCCGCCATATTAGGAAAGCCGAGCATTGAGCATCGTTTAGCGGGGAAAAATGAATAGCGGTAGATTTGAGCCATGCTGGAAAATCAATGCATTTTGAAATCAAAATAGTAAAATTCATAAAATATAAGCTCCTTAGAAGACCAAATRTGATCATTTCTATGCTTTTCTTGGCTTTTATGAATAATTTTGAGTGGATTTTTGGACGATAGCGTGGTTTTAAAATTATTGCTAAATTTACGCTGTAACCTTATAAATGTTAGACTTAATGTTATATGTTAGACTTTTTCGATTCTATTGAAAGGGAAGAAAAACTATTTGGATTTTCGAACTGTAGAGGATTTTAGCTTCCAAAGAAGGTCGGAATTAAATAAAGATCGAGGTATTTTATAACTTTGAATTGCATAACGAGTAGAAATGAGCTCAGATATCGTCGACAACTCACTTTAGAAAATAAAAAAATCCAACAAAAATTTTATAAAATTACTGAATTATTAAGAAGACTAGAGAAAAACTTATGAACCGTGGTYTATATTAAAGATTAAGAATACAGTGGATTGCATATGTTGAATCGTCCTTCTCTTACTAAAAGGGCGGATAGATTCGAAAATGAAACGAAAAATTTTAGCTTTCTTACCTCTTCAGGGAGTTTAGCTGGTCCTGGGGCAAAGTTCACAACTTTTTTGAATTCTTGAGCCATTTTGAAATGATTTTRAAGATTTTAAATTCAGAAGTGAAGTAGGTTTGCTTTCAGAGTTACTCAAGAGTGAAATCTGTGTACAAATTGTGGAATTTTTAAAATATGAATATCATTGAACTCTGATCTCCATGTAAAGGGAAAACCACGCTTAACTGTTTGCGATCGAATCCCTGTGATCTGATTGGTCGAGACACGCACTTGACATGTGAACACTGCATGGTTCGATGACATCATTGTATGAACGTGACGTCAAATTAGTATGCGAGACACAGGAAACCCAATATCAAAATTGAGGATTTTAGGAATTTTAAGATTAGGGGGACAAAATAAATAACAATATTAATAATAATAATGATAATGATAATAATAATAAATAATAATAATAAATAATAATAATAATAACAACAGCAATATAGTTTTTACTTCACGACGTTTCGATGTCGTCATGACTCCATTATCAAGTAGTGAATTACAAGTATACAGTAGTTTAACATTTATGATTTGCTTGTCAAAAACAAAAGGTATTGTCATGTAAATAKTTTGGCCTTTGATAGAGTCACTTTGAACATTTAGAGGTGTTTTTTCTCGTATATTATAAAACAACATTTCAAAAATTAGATAATCGAATATTGTCGTCATCTTGGGAATATTTCTCAGACGAGTGCAGTAGACTGCATAAAGGGGTTTTTTTAAGTTTAACTATCCTGAAAGGTTAATTAGCCTATTAGGTCTATTGGATAAAACATCTCCGAAGCATATCACGTCCGGCTCCGCCATTAGAGAGTTTTAGATTGATTTTTTTTTCTCCCCGCAAACGGCAAACGTGACCACGTTTTCAAAGTTTTCGTGTATTTTACTTTACCTTTTGCAAACCTTCTCACCAGGCGCAAATATTCTTTTGGTTTTCTAATACTTGGACTTTTTTGCGATTCGTTTTCAGTAATTTAAAATGATTTTTTACTGGTCAACTGACGTTTCACGTTTGCCGTGAACGTAAATCTAAAACCCTCTAATAACTATATATTGACCTCGCATTTATAATGAGGGTTATAACAAAAATAAAGCCTTGTGAATAACAAAGAAAACCGTGTCAATTGAGAAATAAAACATCTTCGAAGCATATCGTCCAGCTCCATTGATGCGAAAAACTGACCGTACGTTGCAAATATCAAGGATCTGCAGATTTAGTTTGAAAACAATTGAAAAACCTCGGCAACAAAGTTAATATTTACATCCAACCCGATTTTGTTAGCCGCAAGCTGAATGATGAGTTAAAATATAAAGAAACTATACCACCTTTAGTCAGCCAGCAACGCRTAGTTTATGAATTTCAATGTGGCTTGTGTGATGCGAGCTATGTAGGCTACACCGTATACCCGGGGGGCGGGATACTCCCCTACATTTGATATACGGGTATGTGCCGCCCTATAGGGTATGGTTTTTCGGCTTTTGGGTCTGGGGTAGGGTATCACTTTTGTGCATTTTGTCTGGGATAGGGTATCATTTTTGTCTGGGATAGGGTTACGATTTGGTCGTTTTAGTCTGGGATAGGGTTAACGATTTGGTCGTTTTTGTCTGGCGAATAGGCTACGATTTCTGCCGGCACGAAAACAATAAATATGTTAGTAAGTATTGATTGTAATCTATTGAATAACCGTTTTTGGAATAGGGTATACATGATTGGGTTTAGTCTGGGATAGGGTGTACAATTCTTAGTTATAGTCTGGTTCTTATATAGTCTAGTTCTTAGTTATAGAAATTTGAGCAAGAGAGGGGTGACTAGTCACCTATATTACAACCCCTGGGTCTGCCACTGCTGCCATCATGTAATGGTGCAAAGCCTCTATATTATACTATGCTGTGGGAGATGATGAAGCTTATATTTTATTAAGACACCAATTTTGAGTTTATATTCTTTATATACTAAAAATTACCATGTTWAGAAATATTTAGTCAAAAAACTAGGTTGAATGCTGAATACTGCAATAGTGCATTCCAAGACATTGTGGGTCGTTAATTTGAAATAAAAMGTAAATATACAGCAACTAACTCTCTACAYGTAGTTAGTATATTGTTTCAGATGGAATACACAAAAAATAGAATAAATAATTATTATYAATCCTACTTTAGACAATRTCACTACGACCCGCAATGCACTTCAGTCTTTGGAATGCTTTATTCAGTATTCAGTATTCAACYTTKTTTGAAATAACTGTACATGTAGATGAAACAACAACWGAATATTTAATGAYAMCTWCATACAAAGTAAYCTTAAATTTATGTTTAGGAATATTTGTGTATGTACTAGATGTTGTTACAAGTGCTTGTTAAACACATTCATAAACATAWAAACACTGTTTGGAAGTGATATGGACTTGCTGGCCTCCAGTGTAAATATACTTAATACAGCA